ATCCGTTCCAGAGGCCACTTGATTTGGATTCTTCATCTTTGGATTCTGATCCCAACTGACGTCTCAAAAATTCTTTGGCTTTAAAAATTGAGTCAATCTTTTCTCTTTTGTCATTGATTTTAAAGATGACACCCTCTGGGATCGCCCACCTGTACAAAATTCCATTGGTTTGAAGAAAATAAATTAAGTCCTTATAGCTTTTCCTCTTTTGGCGAATTTCAAATGGAATATCCTTTAAAATTTTAATGTTTGTATTCCCCAGTTTCAGTGGAGTTGCTGAAGTCACTTTTAAAATAGCATATCTGGTCTGTCTTCTTGAGAATCTGACCTCTATTTCCCCAGGCAGGCTATTTTTTTAAATATAGTTGGAGTATGCCCTATAAGCAGTCTCCATCTCTTTTACTACTTCATCCGCTGTTGAGCCTATTGCTGGGGCGATGATCTCGCTGAGCAACTTCCTCAGATCCTCCTTTTCCGATTCACGAACTCCCTGGAATCTGAGAATCATATTGGCTTTTTCCATTTGTAGCTGTAACAAACGGTTTTATTGGAAGTTTTGTTTTGCTTCAACTTCCCCCATTCTTTTCTTCATGTTCTTGTTTGTGGTGTCTATCTCTTTAATTCTCTCAGTCGCATGCTCCACCTTCTTCGCCGTTTCTGCCAGTTGGAGCTGCTGGGATGCGAAGTTTCGGTTCAGCGAAGTCAGTTGCTGGTTATTACCATCGAGTTGCTCCATCACCGGCTTGAGCATATCTGCTAACATTTTTATGACGTCTGCTCCCTCTTCCAGTTTTGGGCTCTGACTACCCGCCGGTTTTATTTTAAACTTTCTTTGCGAGGCCGCCATTTTATATGATTGTTTACAATTCCAAACCGCTTCTTGCGGACTCAAAAAATTGTCGCCTCAGTGTCAGGGCTCAAGTAAGTCTCTCAAAACAGAATCGCTGCTTGTTTCCCCCCCTGCCCCTTCGTTACGCTTATCTGTACAATTGCATAAGAGGTGTCCCTCTTTGCACTCCGCTTTTCCCACCGGGGGGGTGGTAGTTCGCTTTTAAACTATTCAGTTTATTTTGAATTCACGTTCATTGTCGGTCATTTCTCTGACCTCGCTCTCAGTAATCGATATTCCACTTGATCTCCACCGCTTGTCCCGTTTGAATCAGCTTGTACCGGAGGGCCACACAGCGGCAGGACCATCAGGGCAGAGGGAAGCCTCGATTCTCCGGCATTAAGCCATCAAAGAGGCTGCGCCTCAAAGCCCTCTGGACTGGAGCCTATCGCAAAGGCTCCATGTGAGTGCTACTTGAGGTAGCACCCCTCCATACCACTGGTGTGCGGGTCGCTCCCCCGCGGTCTGGGGAGAGCGACTGCCATTGCTGATCCACAAACCGGAAGTCTCGATGTAATCAATTTGTTGACTTTATTAAAGATTGGCAAGAACATTCCTATGACAAGTTTATTAATCTCAAATCTGCAGTCTCCTTTGTTGGAATATTCCCTGTGATTATTGTCTACAAAAAGGAGTTCTTTCTGCAAAGAAAGAAAGAAAGAGTTTCCCCAGAAACCTGGTGTTGTATACTGAGATAATTACATCAGCGCTAGCGAGGCCATGCAGTCTAGCTCACCTTCGGGTGCTAGAACAATAGAGGAATCGGATTCTAGAGTAGACCTGTGATGGACTCCTCCACTGTAAATAGCCTATCGCTGGTGTTGGGGTGTGTGTTGGGTGTGGGGTATGGCAGGGATATAAGCAGGGCTCGGACCTCGCTAGTTCATCTTTTGTTTTGCTTGCTTAATAAAACATGAGCTGATCACTACTCAGCGCCTCCAAACTCAGTACTTTACACTTGGACTATGCACAGGAGAGCTAGCCAAAGGTTGTATTGTATGGTTTTGGTCCCATGAGAGTACAGAAAAATGCAGACTGTGGTGTTGGATAGAGGATTCAGTTTCTGGAGAACTCCAGCTTTTGTTTCATGTAAAAATTAAGTTTCTAGTCCTTAAAGGTTGCAGTAGATCTGCTTGAAAACATATGGGAAATGCTGGCTAAAATGGCAGAAACCAGAGATACAGCAAAGCAAGATTTCCATAATTATGCAAAATAGGGAAAGCATACTAATTTGCATAAATTATACAGGTCACCGGGGGGGATCAAAACCGTGTCTGTCCAATAGTAAAAGAGGAATGAAAATTATACCTATGAAATTGCTCCACACAGAAGAATCGGCATATATGCTTCCATTGATCACAGACACCAGCCAATCAAATACCCTGGAAGAGAAATACAAACATCCAGTTGGTTGGAAAAGTAGGATTCCACTTCTTATATGGGGCAGGAACTGAAGAGCAGAGGGTTTTTTTTAACCCCCACTTTCTTTCATTAAACTAGAACTTGGGGGCCATCCAGTGAAATTGATGGGCAGCAGATTTGGAATAGGTAAGCACTATTTCACATAGACAAATAACTTATGGAACTCGCTGCCGCAAGATGACCACTAGCAATGACCATTAGACTCAGATGGCTTTAAGAGGGGATTAGACAAATCCATGAACTATCAACCTCTATTAGTCATGATGACAAAATGGAGACCCCATACTCAGAGGCAATGTACCCCTGAATGTCAGTTGCCAGGGAAAAACAGGAGGCGGCTTTAGTCTTTGTGCCCCGCGATCAAAGTGTCCCGGGTCACCTGGCTGGGAAACAGGATGCTGGAGTAGACTGTCCGAACCAGCCATACAATGCATATTGCCTTACATTTAGAACAATCTGGACACCAGTGTAGTGGACAGAGTACTAGACCTGTACCACAGAGGCCATGCCAAAGAGACTATGAGTTCATGCTCTCTTTTGCCCTAACCTCCAAGGCTAGAATGAGATTTTTTGAAGGACATAATGCCTATAATGCTTACTACATTTATATCCCATTTCTTCCCCCAATAAGGATCCAAACCGGCTTACAACATTCTCCCTGTCTCCATTTTATCACCACAATAACCCTGTGAGGTAGATTAGGCTGAGACCATGTGACTAGCCCAAGGTCACCCAGCAAGCTTCCATGGTGGAGGAAGGATTCAAACCTGGGTCTCCCTGATCCTAGTCCAATACACAAAAGAGGTGAACCTGCTTGGCAGAAACCCGCTGGCACAAGGCACATACTTGGCATAGATAACTTTAGCCAGACAGTCTCTCCTCGTCCCGCACTCAGCCCCGAAGCACGGCTTCTTGAAGACCTGCTGCTGTTTCCCGGCTGTAATCGTCCGAATCCTCAGCGTTTCCAAAAGGTGTTCGATGGGCACTTTCAGCAATCTGGAAGCGGTCCTCGCTGAATCTGGTTTTAGCAGGACCATTCAGAAGGGGTGGAGGGGAAGGAAAAGCAGCTCAGGAAACTTCTTAAAAAGATCCTAATTGGGGGGGGGTTGGGGGGGGTAAAAAGTACTGCATGGCTTGAACCCCTGTAATCCCCCATTCTGCAGTGCTTATTGAATTGTCCACTTGCAGTATTTATCAAACATCCTGTACTGCAGTGCGGTGCCCACCAACACCTTTCTTGGCACCCCCAAGAGTTTTTGAAAGTAGGCGGGACCAGGTGAGGTTCTTACCCAGCAGGGGACTTAAGAGCTGGTTGGCCGTGCAAATTGAAACAGCAGCATTTCAATGGCAGCTGCATCTGTCAAACAACTTTAAGATGCTGTGTGCTAATTTGCTGCTCCTCCTCTACCTATATATATGGACTGGTAACTTCCATTTCAACATATCTGAAGAAGTGTGTGGGGACACCAAAGCTTATACCTTGAACAAAACTTTGTTGGTCTTAAATGTTCCGCTGGACTCAAACTTTGTTCAGCCGCCCCCACAATATTTGTTTTATTCCCTCTCATCCCTCTTTTTTTGCCCACTGTATTTTTAAAATTACCCCTCTTCTCCCCTGCACTTGGCCTACCTGTGTGTGGGCTCCACCTCCTCTGTCAGCCATTTTGTAGTTGGCTTCACCTCCCGCAGCAGCTGTTTTGTAGCTGAGCCTACCACCCGGTGTCAGAATTCCACAGTCTCGAAAAAGTTGGGAACCCTGCTGTATGGTCACAAGCAATGCTCCCTCTAAGCTGTGGAGTCTTGTGAGCAAAAATTCTACTTTGTGAGCTACTGGCACTAAAGTTTGGCATAAATTAGTTTGCTGGCATCCTTCCTGAGCAGAGACAAAAATGTGTGGGCCGGAGGCTAAAAAGCTGTGAGCTAGCTCACACTAACTCAACTGAAAGGGAACACTGGTCACAACTGGTGCTTGCTTGGTTCAGTCTTGTGCTCCTTTATGCTTCCTTTCTCTGTGTGTGCCTTTCCTTTCTCTCTCTCCACCTTAAGTCTCAGTGAGAAAGGTGGGCTTGAGATAATAAATTATACAATATGTAAGATGGCTTTAAGAGGGGATTAGACAAATCCATGAACTATCAACCTCTATTAGTCATGATGACAAAATGGAGACCCCATACTCAGAGGCAATGTACCCCTGAATGTCAGTTGCCAGGGAAAAACAGGAGGCGGCTTTAGTCTTTGTGCCCCGCGATCAAAGTGTCCCGGGTCACCTGGCTGGGAAACAGGATGCTGGAGTAGACTGTCCGAACCAGCCATACAATGCATATTGCCTTACATTTAGAACAATCTGGACACCAGTGTAGTGGACAGAGTACTGGACCCGTACCACAGAGGCCATGCCAAAGAGACTATGAGTTCATGCTCTCTTTTGCCCTAACCTCCAAGGCTAGAATGAGATTTTTTGAAGGACATAATGCCTATAATGCTTACTACATTTATATCCCATTTCTTCCCCCAATAAGGATCCAAACCGGCTTACAACATTCTCCCTGTCTCCATTTTATCACCACAATAACCCTGTGAGGTAGATTAGGCTGAGACCATGTGACTAGCCCAAGGTCACCCAGCAAGCTTCCATGGTGGAGGAAGGATTCAAACCTGGGTCTCCCTGATCCTAGTCCAATACACAAACTCATAACATACCCACTATGTGTAAGTGTCAGAGTGAAAGGGACACAGGTCTCATCATCAGCACCAAACCAAGCTAAAATGGGGAGGGGATTACACCTTTCACCTGCAAACCTCTGTCAAAAGGGTGCAACACACGGAGGTGGCCACGGGGATGCCAGCAAGACTCGGAGGCCCCAGAGGGAAAAAGGTGAACCTGCTTGGCAGAAACCCGCTGGCACAAGGCACATACTTGGCATAGATAACTTTAGCCAGACAGTCTCTCCTCGTCCCGCACTCAGCCCCGAAGCACGGCTTCTTGAAGACCTGCTGCTGTTTCCCGGCTGTAATCGTCCGAATCCTCAGCGTTTCCAAAAGGTGTTCGATGGGCACTTTCAGCAATCTGGAAGCGGTCCTCGCTGAATCTGGTTTTAGCAGGACCATTCAGAAGGGGTGGAGGGGAAGGAAAAGCAGCTCAGGAAACTTCTTAAAAAGATCCTAATTGGGGGGGGGGGGGTTGGGAGGGTAAAAAGTACTGCATGGCTTGAACCCCTGTAATCCCCCATTCTGCAGTGCTTATTGAATTGTCCACTTGCAGTATTTATCAAACATCCTGTACTGCAGTGCGGTGCCCACCAACACCTTTCTTGGCACCCCCAAGAGTTTTTGAAAGTAGGCGGGACCAGGTGAGGTTCTTACCCAGCAGGGGACTTAAGAGCTGGTTGGCCGTGCAAATTAAAACAGCAGCATTTCAATGGCAGCTGCATCTGTCAAACAACTTTAAGATGCTGTGTGCTAATTTGCTGCTCCTCCTCTACCTATATATATGGACTGGTAACTTCCATTTCAGCATATCTGAAGAAGTGTGTGGGGACACCAAAGCTTATACCTTGAACAAAACTTTGTTGGTCTTAAATGTTCCGCTGGACTTGAACTTTGTTCAGCCGCCCCCACAATATTTGTTTTATTCCCTCTCATCCCTCTTTTTTTGCCCACTGCGACTGAACAACAACAACAATAAATGGCTTCTGATGGGAAAAATCCAGAGACCTATAATCCCGTTGCCTAAAAGCAGATGACGTTAAAATACTAATGTTATCAGGCACCTGAATAAAGATTATCTTGGAAGATTTTTATCCTGCCTTTCTAGTTCAATTTGGTTTACATGAAATATGGGGGGGAAATCCACAATTTTTTTCTAAATATCGACAGGGATGAGCCAAGATAGGTCTCTATTCTGCCCTTTTTGGGTAAGGTAATAAAATTACCCCTCTTCTCCCCTGCACTTGGCCTACCTGTGTGTGGGCTCCACCTCCTCTGTCAGCCATTTTGTAGTTGGCTTCACCTCCCGCAGCAGCTGTTTTGTAGCTGAGCCTACCACCCGGTGTCAGAATTCCACAGTCTCGAAAAAGTTAGGGACCCTGCTGTATGGTCACAAGCAATGCTCCCTCTAAGCTGTGGAGTCTTGTGAGCAAAAATTCTAC